GTACCGAAATTACGTTGTAAATTATTAAAATCCGAGAAGTAACGCAAGCAATTTCAATTACCAACTCAAATAAAAGTGCTCAAAACAGATTTCAAGTTTCCAAAACTACGATCACCGGATTAATTTTGACTCAGAATTGCGGATCGATTGCTGACAACCGGCATATTTGGGGAAATTTGCAAAATTGGGCTATATTAAAAAACACATTAAAATACTAGGAAGAAATTTAGAGCGAAAATTTCAGAAGAAAAAATATTTCAGTTTTTTTAATAATGGAAAAAATTAGTTATTTTTACGTTGAACTTACTTTTTAAGATTCTCGTAAAGCTGAGATGAAAGCAATGACTTTTTTTAGATTTGTCACGGAGTATAATAAAGGAGACTAAACTAACAAAACTGCTTAAACTAATTTTTATAACTTATATTTTGAACATAGGCATTAGGGAATCAATAAAATTATTTGTAACAAAATTGAAAATTAATATCTTAATGTTTGTTTTCACTTTAGATTTCAGACTATGTCCACAATGTTCGTCCTGAAATTTTAAGATTTTCAAAAATGTACATACATAATTAATTCGTGTAAACTATTAAATTGGTAACTATTTATTAATATTTTTTTTTAAACAAATATTTTTGTTAGTATTTTCAACAAAAGCTCTGATAAGTTTTACTATCGTTGAGCTTTAGTAATATTAGTTTTAATTCTGATTTTACTTTTTGTAATGCATTATCTCTTCTCGTAAAGCTGGGATGAAAGCAACGACTTTTTTTAGATTTGTCACAGAGTATAATAAAAAAGACTAAACTAACAAATCCGTTTAAAAATTTTATTACGTTACAAAGAAATAACAAAAATACATTAATGTAAATGGTCACATGTCAAATATCATGTCAATTAACTTACAATTTTATTTTGAATAATTATTTTTTTTAAGAATAAGAACATGGGCATTAGAGAATAAATAAAATTAATTGCAACATAGTAGGAAATTAATATTTTAATGTTTGTTTTTTTGAGAAAACCTAAAATTGTGGTATACATTTTAGATCGGAAACGTTTTTCAATTTCAGCGCTTGCTGAAAAAAATTCAGCCTACGTTAACAACGTTCGTCCGGAAATTTTGTGATTTTCAAAAATGTACATACATAATTAATTCGTGTAAACTTTTAAATTGGTAACTATTTATTAATAACAATTTTTTTAAACAAATATTTTTGTTACTAATTTCAACAAAAACTATTCTGATTAGTTCTACTTACGTTAAGCTTTATTAATCTCAGTTTTAATTTTGATTTTACTTTATATAATGCAATATCTCTTCTCGTAAAGCTGAGAAGAAAACAACGACTTTTTTACATCTGCTACAGTATAAATAAGAGTTTAAACCACCAAAAACGGTTTAAAATACATAGTTTAAGTTTTTTAAAAAATATAAAAACTTCAATAATGTAAATAATCGCATTTCATCTTAAATGTTATGACAAATCACAATTAACTTAAAAATTTATATTTTTTTTTCACTACTACATGCAAAAGATACCATTATTTAGTTTGTCGAGAAGTTGTGAAGTTGTTTTTCACTTTTATAGTGGTTATTAATCATTTCATTTAAATAATTCCACCTCCAATTTTTCTGTCTATGACAAAATTGTCAAATAACAAATGGGTTTATTTCATATTAAAATACTACCGAGACTATAGCCTATTTTAATACTTTTTTCCCTTTCATTACAGTTTCTTTATTATTTTAACAAATATTTTATATTTTGAAGTTAGATTTTGTTTATAAATGCATAAGTACAAAAATCAGATAACATTAT